GATATACTTTCGTAAATTACTCTTATAGTTGTAGTATTGTATCTCGATTTTCAGGGACTTTCAAAAAAAAAAAGTGGAAACACTTCTCTGACTCACACAAAGTTATAAATTTGGTTACAGTTTCTTATTCTAGGTGCGATATCTACCTTTTTTAATTCATCTGAGAATTAGAATTAGATATCAATCTCTTAAACAATAGAATTCAATTAAGAATCAAAATGCAGATGCGTTGCCAGGCCTAAGGCCTAATGACTGAAACGGAATGCATCGTTTCCAGTAATAAGGATTTCCGGTCCTCTACACTTACTATAAGAAACACAGCAGCATCAAGCTGCTATTTTACGCTGGTATTCTGTGAGAGCATGGTCCCACCCCGTTCCAGCCGACCCATTCGTACTGCAACCACAATATAACCACAGTATATAATATAATACCACGTAAAAAATATATAAAATCAATATTTTCTCACGATTGCTTTAGTATTCAGCAGTAATTAACACAAATGAAAATGAAAATATAATGGTTTTTGATGAAAATACAGCAAAAATGGTTACAAACGATAGCAACTTTTTTAAAAAATACCAAAAATAAAAACAACGGGATACCTTAGGCAAAATGGTTAAATTATAATATAAGTATGTTAAGATAAATTATCTGTTTTACCAAATGCAAATAAAACACGTTGTCAGCATGGATCTACTGCGGCGGCACAGTGCCAAAAAAGCAGCTCTCTTATATCCGCGTCTGTAACACGAGGAACTTACAGACCTTATCTCTACAGCCAAAGTGAATGAAAATATATTGCTTTATATTTGGTTTACTTTTCGGAAAATGAATTTCTTTCGTTTTTAAAGGTAATAAGTAAGTTGCCATTTGAACAATTAGTATCAATCACAAAAATAACAAATAATTCATCAATATTTTTTATAATAGAAAAGTAATCCTGTGATAGAAATGATTAACGATGAGTTAATAGCAAACGGAAAGAATTTACTGTAAAACATGGAAACAGTAACATGGAAATGCCATGTAGTGGCGGTATAAGAATATCCACTACCTCATATCATCCCGTGGGTGTCGTAAGAGGCGACAGAGGGAAACAAAACCAGCAGATGGCCAGCAACGTCTTCACAATAACAACTAAAAATAAAGAACTGCAATTGCCAAACCGCGTGCCAAGCATCGCAAGTATGGGAAATCCGCCCGCACTACGAGGCAATCTATGGGGAAAAGCCTATATTCAGCAGTAGACTTTAATAGACTGTAACGATTACGGGAAAAGCGTGTAAAAAGTGTCATAATTCATTTCTTACAATTTATTTAGTTGGATGATGCGACTTTTACCTAGTTTTTATAGAAAAACAGATCACATAATCACATTATATATCACATTATGTTAGGACTTACCCATCCAATATTATGTAGGTACTTATCTACTTATAGACAGTATTAATAAATATTGACTACTATAATAGAAATACGCCTAATAATAACGCGGCCTTGGCATAAGTTACATTTAAAAAATGTGATATTATAAATAACGGTGGTAATAATTTTAAATTTTTAAATAATAATTAAAATTAACAGTAACCTCCTGTTAATTTTAATTATTTAAGAGCCGTGGTAGCTCAGTGGTTAACGCTCGCTGTAAATATAACAGAACGCGAGTAACCCGGGTTCGATCCCCGCCGGCACCAATGAAATTGTTAATTGCAATTTTAAGTGCTGATTTACCACGTGCTCGCCGGTGAAGGAAAACATCGTGAGGAAACCTGCATGTCTGAGGAATAAGAAAAAAAAATATTTCGAAGACATGTGAATTTCGTCAACACGCATTTGGGCAGCGCGGCGGACACTTCCCTGCCCTAAACCCTCTCAGAAATAAGGGGAGGCCTGAGCCCAGCAGTGGGACGTATATAGGCTGTAACTTTACTTTTTTTTTTAGTAACCTCCTTCCCATTCCATACCATAGTCAACTCAGCATCATTTATTTAAAGCTGTACATAGATAAACATTATTTCTCTGCCTACCAAATAGAACATTTACGTTTTTACTCTCTTGTTATCTTAGTTTTATTCTTCTACAAGGCTGCGGGAAAAGAAACTTAAATGATAACGTCAGACGCCGAAAACATTTTCCGTATTGTAAACTGCGTCAACAAAGGGAAAATGAAAATTATGAGAAGGAAGCTTTAGTTCTACGAAAGCCTGACAAAATATTGTGCTTTGAAATAATTAAATTATCATGACAATCTTTTCTAGGTTATTATGATTATTTTGCCATGAACACATTTTGATAATATAATTCACTTCAGTGCATGATCAATGCATGGCCTTTCACGATGAGATTGTTACTACCTTCTAATTACATTTGGTTCTAAAAAATAAGAATTAATACATGAACATACTACGAGTATTCCGGGAAAACGTACTTTCTACTTTATGATGCCAATTAAGAACGTAAAAATACTTTATTTCATCTAGTTTTACGATTTTAGGTTTTATTTTAATGTTTACTAAAAGAACGAATTATGTACATACATTACTTAAAGCTCAATGTTACTTAACGAGTTATATAAGAGTAAGTTATATGCGCAAGGAAATAATTTTGACAACTTTTTCATTTTATCCGCTTTACATTTAATATTTTTCTATGTAGTATGTAATAATTTAGTACTTTAATTCGAAATAGTGTCATGACTGCTATCTATTCCATCACTGTAGCGTTGTTTACCGTAAAAACCTATTAAAGTCCACTACACAATATACTATAGATATATAGATAGAGATTGCCTCATAGGGGGATATTGGCCATAGTTACCACGCTTGACAAGTAAGTTGACAACTGTAGTTTTTTTTATTTTATGTAGTTATTAGGAAAATCTGCTGCCCATCTCCTAGTTTTTCCCCTCTTTCGTCTCTTACGACACCCACGGGAGAATATGACATACACCGCCACTACTCAGTAAATTCAGAGTTATTTACAAGTTCATTCTGTGATAAATTCTAGGGTATGGGATGAAAGGAACAGTGTTATCTTAACTTATATATAGAATGTAGGTAAAGATAATGTGTGGAAAAAATATCATGGCTAATAATAAACAATACTTTATTTTCATTTGTCGTATTTTATTTTTTAGCTTAGAAGAGCCTATTCTACGTTATTTACTCAAACAAAGGTGGCAACCCTAACTGGACACGGCACTGACTACAATATTTGTACTTACTACCTTAAGTCAGTATTTTTAGGTCCACTTTGTTCTTGTAAGTACTGGTATAATAGTTTTTCTCTTGCTTCACCTGATCTTTGCTTGCGTAATTTACAGGGTTGTGCTAAACCTTGAACCTACTCTCTTAAAGCTTATACCAGGCCTCTATCACTCTTGCTACCTGCGTGAAATAATTACCTAAAATCGCGACGCGCCCGGGCGAAATAACGCAGTCAGGGCGATTGAATGAAGAAAACTTGTTGAAATAGATTTTTTAGTGTTTAGTACATTTAATTGTAGGTAAAATAGTTGTAAAAGTTTTGTAATGTATTTTAAAAATTATTATTTGATAAATCATAATAGCAAAACGTTGGTCCTACTATAACTGTTGCTTGGATGGATACTAAATGAAATGACCAACAAAAGAATTCATCATTCTTTAAATTACCGTAGAATTTTAGAAGGAACGTATGAAAGGTGAATTTATTTAATTTTTTTGTTGGATATGTACATACAGCGAAAAAGAATTAAGTAAAAATTTGTAGTACTTTATCACAAAAATTTGTTAAAATTTACTTCACTATCCAAGTATTTACTTACATACCTATACTTGTCTTTTGTAATTAAAATATTTTAAGTTATAATAACACAAAATACTAAAATTAAAACTTTGTATACTAACAAGATTTTTAACTAAGTAGAATAGATCACATTTCTGTTAGGAATCGTATTACAGATTTATTTGTTGTTCACACTATCTAGCATTTCTTCCGAATCAAGCGTTGCAATTCCCGACGAATGACCTTGCAATTTGCATGCATTAGGCATCGCAGAACTCACATAGGGGCGAAAGTATGGTCAGTCGATCATAGTAAGAGTAGGTACTTCACCTAAGTAACATAATTAACATTTCGCGATGTATTTTTTTACTTTCTATTGACATCCCTTAATAATCACGGAAAGTCCGCCGTGACTTAGGAAGCGGAAAAGATGCAAAGTAATATGGACACTAACGCGCAGCGATAAAGATTTATTTGGCTTGAGTGCGCGATTTATCTGATTAATAATAATTATGTAGGCTATTAAAAATCGGCAAGCAATCGACATCAAAGGAGTGCAACTTCTGTACGTAGTACTATTATTTATTCTGTGCTTATACGCCATGTAATGCCACTCGTACGTACCGATTCCCTTTTAAAATCGCTCGTTCATCGCAGCATTTCATTTTTTCAAGTGAGAAAATGCTGACATCATTCTGTGGGAGTCTGATGTTGATATAAAAAATTTAGCTTTTTATCAAATTAGCCTAAATATTATTGTTACGATAATTTACGATACGAAAATTACAATGCAACATTGTAACAGCATCAGTAATCATTCCATGCGATAAATATTTAAATTAGATGCGAAAAACTGCCCGACCAAATTGTTAAACGTGCTATTTAACGATGATGTTAAGCACATTTTGACAAATTTACCTAAAACTCCAGAATAATAATAATAATAATAATAAGGAGGTCGCCAGGGCGCGTCTGGAGCTGGCGCTGGACGCGGCAGCATGCGAACCGCCAGCCGAGCGCGAGGTGCTGCACGACCACCCAGCAGCCCCTCGCATCCATCATCCCCACCAGCTGGCTTGGTGTCGGCAGGGTCTTCGCGGGCCCAGCAATCGGCACCCGCCTCTGGTGGAGTACGCCGCATGCGTTGCACAACTCAGATGAACAGCAACGCATTGCGGGCGTATTTTAGGGCGAAAGGGGGAGAAACTGGATGTTTGGCGTATCGGGCTAGGATGCATCGTCTTTTTGCTGAGCTGGAGCCATCTTTAACCGTCACAGAGCAAAACCTGGCAGACCGAGTTCGGTATATCTTGCGCTCAAATATATTTGATGTCGCCGAACTCGAACGGCTACGACGTGAGGCTGTTCCCTCGTCGGATGAGAATGCTACGGCTGAGGATGCGGCGCCACAAATGGTAGAGCAACCCGCAAACGTGGATGCCGCCGTGAATACCCCAGTTGTGGTTGATTCAAACGATGATGGAACAGTCGCCCAGGAACTGGAATTAGAGCATATGAGGAGTACATTGGAAGAGGCGATTGTGGAAACGCGCAGTACGCCTCTCGAAAATCGACCGCGACTTCCCCGCATAGCCCTAAGCAAGCGGAATCGGGCTGTCGTGAGGGCTCTGAACCCAATGCTGGTGACCTATTTGGAAGCCAGCCGGGACCTTTGCGAGACGGACTCAATTCTTTTTGGCGCCGCGCTGGCAGTCTGCCGTATCATAGGCGCCAAGGTTTCCACGGCTGGACGCGCTACTGGCCATAGTAGCGCTATCCCAGCATGGAGAAGAAGAATTGAGGAACGTATCGCAAAGGCTAGAGCTCTCATCGGCAGACTGATATGCTTCAGATCAGGCAATACCAGGCCAAGGACTGTGCGCACCGTCAGGATGGCGTTAGCTGGGACAAATGTTAGTTTGTCCCAGCCGGATATAACGCAAAAACTGACGGAGCGCATAGATGATCTGAAGCAGAGAATCGCTGCTTGGGGAAAGCGGATTCGGCGATATACCGAGAGGTCGACACGGTTCAACCAGAATCGTCTCTTCCAGAGTGATAAGAAGAGGCTCTATGAATCATTGGAGCGACCAATGGTAAGTGGAACGGGTCCAGCACCGAATCAGGCCGACACTGTAGCATTCTGGCGCGGCCTGTGGTCAGAGCCCGTAAACCACAGCGAGGGCCCTTGGACGGAAGTTGTGGCGAGTCAGTGTGCGGGTATTACGCCCATGGACCCCGTCATCATAACGCCGGATGACGTAGCTGAGGCGGTCCGTAGGGCCCCGAACTGGAAAAGTCCGGGGCTCTACGGGCTGCATCACTACTGGCTGAAGGGGTTCATGGTGTGTCACTCTGTGCTTGCCCGACAGTTTCAAGAGGCTCTCAACCAGAAGACGCTCCCAAGCCTCTTCACTACTGGGATCACTCATTTGGTTCCTAAAGACCAGGGTACCACAGACCCGAGCAAATACCGCCCCATCACGTGTCTACCGACCATATACAAGACACTAACATCCATTTTGAGCGCGAGAATCACTTGTCACCTGGACTCAAATCAGGTGATGTCGCGCGCTCAAAATGGATGTCGGGGCGGTGGTCGTGGAACCAAGGAACCACTCCTCATTGACGCGGTCATTGGCAAAGTGGTGAAACGCAACCGTCGGAACTTCTCCGCCGCCTGGATAGACTACAGAAAGGCATTCGACTCGGTGCCCCATACATGGCTAAAGAGAGTCCTCGAGCTGTACAAGATAGACTGTACAGTTAGAGACTTCCTCGAGCAGTGTATGGGGCAGTGGAGTACGATCCTTTGTCATCTGGGCGAGCGGATGATGGCTGCGGAGAATCACATAAGGATAAGAAGGGGTATCTTCCAGGGCGATTGTCTGAGTCCAATCTGGTTCTGCCTCTCTCTGAACCCTCTCAGTACCTTACTGGAGGGCTCCGGGAGGGGGATTTCAGCTACGGAGAGGAGGGACAAAAGTGACCCACCTTTTCTATATGGATGACCTCAAGTTATTCGCCTCCAGTTGCTCCCATCTTATGGAATCGCTAAACATCACTTGTGAATTTAGCAATTCCATTGGAATGGAGCTTGGGACGGATAAGTGCGCGGTCCTCCATGTTGAAAGGGGAAGGGGTGCTAACTCTGAGGGCGTAGACTTATCTATGCCCGTCAACTTAAGGACCCTTTCCGAGGCTGAAACATACCGATACCTGGGTATGTCACAAAACATCGGTATCGATGAGACTGGTATGAAACAGTCAGTTTGCGACGTGTTTTATGCACGCTTGACCAAAGTGCTTAACAGCCTTTTGTCCGGTGTGAATAAGGCACACGCATATAACGGCTGGGTCATGCCTGTCCTCATGTATAACTTTGGCATACTCAGGTGGACTCAGACTGAACTTAACGCCCTGGATAGAAAAGTCCGCACTACCATGACGTCCCATAGGATGCATCATCCGAGATCGTCGGTAATGAGGCTGTACTTGTCGCGGAAGCATGGTGGTCGTGGCTTCTTGAGCGCGCTCACCATGCATAATCGCGAAGTGTGCAGCCTCCGTGATTACTTCCTGGCGAGATCGGATGATCCATTCTATAAGGACGTCATTTCTTGTGATAAAGGACTTACCCCTCTATCCTTAGCCAACGAGCAATGGCAAGACCCGGCAGTGCAGAGCAATTCCGACCGAGAGACCGTATGGAAGGAGAAGGAGCTCCACGGGAGGTTCTACAAGGCTCTACATGAGCCTTTCGTAGACACAGTAGCCTCCCTCCACTGGCTACGCTTTGGTGATCTCTTCGGGGGAAACCGAGGGTTTTGTCTGTGTAATACAGGATCAGGTTATTGAGACCAACAACTATCGGAGATACATCCTAAAGGATGGCACCGTCGACATCTGTCGAGCTTGTCGCCATCCCGGTGAGTCACTTAGGCATGTTATCTCCGGTTGTTCGGCGCTTTCTAACTCTGAGTACTTGCACAGGCACAACCTAGTAGCCAGAATTCTACACCAGGAGCTCGCTCTGAAATACGGTCTCGTGGACCGGAAATTGCCGTATATCAAGTACTTGACGGAAGCCGTGCTCGAAAATGATAGCGCCAGGCTCTATTGGGACCGGGCCATCATCACAGACAGGACTATTCTTGCGAATAAGCCTGATATTGTGCTGATGGACAGGGCACAGTCAAGGATATTTATTGTAATATAAACAAAAACATGAAAAAAAAAATAATAGTATTAAAAGTAAGAGCTATAATAATTATAATTCAGATTTTTTCTTGTTTGGTGATTGTAAGTAATAGTATTTTATCATATTTGTTATGAGATAATGCCAAAAAACTTTATTTGTTAGTAAATAAGAGACTAAATAGAAGGTAATTAATGTATTAAACATTTCGTACTGTAAATGCCAGGTTGTCATACATAATCGCATCTATTGATTTTTCTATGACAGTGTACTATTCAAACTGTTTAAATTTTTTTGTCTTCAACAAAAAGCACACATTAGAGCTTATTTTACACGATAAATATTTGTATATTTTTTATTTGAGCCTGTGTAACTTGTAAATTATAAATTTTAAAGAAAATATGATCTGTATCTGTGTTACTTCTTAAGTCGTGTCTTCAAAACTTTATTAACTTTGATTGGTTCAGTTTCAAAATAGGATAAAACTTTGCGCTTTCGGGTAAAACTTTCCTTAATTGACAGTTAATCGAAAAACTTTGATTTAGACAAATGAATAAAATGTGGATTTAGGCGATTAAGATGAAACTAACTGCAATTAATACATTATATTATAACTGCATTATAGTGGACTGTGTAATTCGTCGTAATTACACAGTCCACTATAATGGTCGTAATTACTGGTTGAATTCCATCAGAGCTATTAGTATTATTTTTGCGAAAAACACGTAAATTATTAAGTTATTTGTTTTAGGTATATGTATTGATTCGTCTTTGATGATGGATGATAGTGATATTACACAATATATTTATTTAAATAGGCAAGGCCACTTAAAAATTAACATTCTTTTTTGTATTAATTTTTAACTAATTTGTAATTTTATAATTTTAACTATGAAAGTTCAATTTATTTTATCAACATAGTTTTAATAAAATAATGATTATGATATGTTGTTTATACATAACATAATATGGAATATTTTCAAAAATAAATGAAGAATCAGAAATAGTGAATGATCATCTCTATCAAAAATGCCGTTTTTGCCTTGGGTCAGTTTTTTTTGAAAATAAGTTAGAAGCCTAAATTATATCGAAATCAAATAAAATTTTGAACCTGCTTAAATAAATTAAGTGTGCACAGTAAACGTAGATCAACATGACTTACTAAATCCTATTAAAAGTATTTGACTGACCGTTTTCTGATTACGTTACTTTACCTGGAAGCTGTTATAATGATGAATATGTGTCTATATAATATGTCCCATCTCTAAATTGCAAGCGTTACGTGAATATTTTACGAGCATGTTAGCCGCAGAATGAGGTATTCAGGCTTAATTGATTGAAAATGTGATCTTTTATATTCAAATGGATTCTATGTTATACTTTTTACTCAATCAAATATTTCGATGCTGTTTAACCTCTCAATCCTCTAGCGGTCTCATGAGACCGCGGCCGTATTCCGTCAAATCCCTAGCGGTCTCATGAGACCTCACCCACTCACAGCACTTTAACCAATAAAAACTCATATATAGAGACTACTTTTCTACGAAAAAGTTTGGCATTATAGAATCAATATGGAATTTTATATCCTCTAGTGCAATAAAAAACAGTTATCTAATGGATATTTATTTATAATCTGCGTTTATTTCGTATGCCATTTTCGCGTGAATGTTATTGTGTTGATTTTTGGATTTTTCTAGTGTTTTATTAGTGTTTTAGTATAGTTTTGTTGGTAACTTATATGGGTGATATGTGCCTGAAATAAAAGAGAATTTATTTTTTTATTTATTTATAGTGTTTTATTGTAAAATTGTAATGAAAGTTTTTGTGTGCAGCAATATTCTGTTTTAGTGAACATGACTTTAATTCCGAATGATGACATTTGTATTATAGTTGAATAAACTTTAATTATATAGAATGTTATCTCTGCATTTAGCACAATAATGCAGGCAAAGTAAACAACGGACATTAATTCATAAAGCGCAATGTAGACAACATATATTATTTTCATTCTGAATTTCAGCTTAGAAATGTTACGAGCTACCGGATGAGAATGGATTATGTAGAAACAGCTGCAACGGATGCTAATATGCAAATGCAATACGCACAGTAATAAACAAAAAATATAAGTTTATGAATTGCTAATGTTTTAAAGTTAATTTGATTTTCTTTCAAATGTTATAATAAGAACTGATTAAAAATTACTGAATATATATTTTAGAATTTAAGGTATTTTTATTTTCACACTAAAACTCTAGTTATTGCTGAGAGTTATTATTAATAGTTTTTATAATTTTAAAATTATATTAGAAGGCTATTTAAAAAAATGTAATATTCATTTATTCTTTTAGTTATTTACGTTATTTCAATAAAATATATATCATTTATTCTTTTAGTTATTTACGTTATTTCAATTACTATATAAAAATGTTAAGCGGTTAGTACATAGTTAGTAGTTTATTAAAATGTAAAGCTCGCAATCTTAAATTAGTTATGTTATGTAGAAGAAGAGTTAATTAGTACTGAGATGAAGTTTTGAGTCAGCCTCCTCTCAGTCGCACTGGGAGGACTGTAATCGATTCAAAAATCTCATATTGTACAGTTTGATTACCAGTTTTGTTTTGTCACAATGTGGTTTTACAAAAATTATTTGACAGTGATGGAATTTGTGGGTAAGAAATATAGCGCAGTTATGCACTACATCTTTACGAAATGCGTCTCGAGAGTACCTCAATAATCACAGTTCGGCGACTGGACCTTTTTCACAAGAAATACAAACTTCTTAGATGGAATGTGTCTAGTATAAAGCTTCATTATCACTACTATATCTTACATTATTAATTCACTTCTTTAATCACTTAAGTGATTATTATTAACAGCTAGAAGGCGAGCCTGATCTTGTTGAATATGGAAATTTTGAAATAAATTTTTCTGGACACTCCGTACCAACTGAATATCCCACTCTTTTTGTTGGTTAACTTCCAGTGGGACATTTTCGCCGGGACAGAGCGTCAGCCATGTTTGCTTTGCCTCTGAAGCAAAGCACAGGTCTACTTTATTATTTAAAATTGTGTTACATAGGTCATTAACACTATGCACGGAAGCAAGGAAAGCAGGCAATGCGACGCTAGAAATATTTCTTACACCAATTCCACCAAATTTGATAGATAAAGTGGCTTGATTCCAGGCTATTGTATTTAATCTCAAATTTAGAATGTTTCCTAAAGCAATTTTAAGATTACTATCAATATCTTTTAAAATATCCGAACATTTCCAGACTGGACTTGAGCGTAACAAGTATGTAAATTTAGGTACAAGGAGACAATATTTTAAAATGGTAAGGGTAATATGGGGGTTTAAAATATATAATTTATCAACGTGATTTAAAAATTGATCAAATTTTGTTTTGAAAACAGGTTTAATACTATCGAAAAACAACGGAGCACCAAGCAGGTAAAGCGATTCCGAATTGACAGTTTCTATTCCTGGAGAAATCTGATTGAAATTTTGAATTAAGGTTAGAATTAGATAAATTATTAGAAATAAATATTTCACATTTATTTGTATTTGGTTCATGACCAATATTTTTAAAATTTTTAAAAATATGAGTAAGATCATTGAGGACGTCATCTGCTTTACCTCCCAGTGTACCGTCGTCCAGATACCAGACATTCAGCTTGGATTTTAAATTTGAAATAATAGGTTGAATTCCCAAACTGAAAAGAGCTGGACCTAATGGATCACCCTGCTGAACACCGACAGCAGACTCAATAATATGGTTTTGATAAAATAAGTTTGAATTTTGACTGTAACATTGCCAAACGTAATGATATATTTCGGGGGTATTGTTAGCCACTTCTTTCAGCAGGGTTATCCTATCAATTGAGTTAAAAGCATTTCTAAGATCAACCTTCAGGAGAACATCTGCATTGGAATTAGTTAAGAAAGTACGCACCGAATGTACCGCCGCCTCACAGCCACCTTTGGTCCCAAACCTAGTTGAGTAGGTTGAAATTTTGTCTTAAGGTTTGAGATTATGTGCCTGCAAGCTAATTTTGAAGTTGAGCGTCGAAATGTAGAACCAACAGCAATAGGACGGATACCGTTATCCTTTTTTTTTGAAGGCACACAATCTTGCCCCATATAAGTAGGGAATTAAATTGGGATTGAAATTACCAGAAAGCATAAAATTACATAATTTTTTTATGTCATTAAGAAGTACCCTACCGGCGTCACCGGCAGATACGTTTACAAGGTCTTTGAGATGCTGAGGCATAACCGTCAATGCCGCCGGCAGAGCCATTTGAAAATGACAATATTGCGTCTAAAGTGTCTTTTTCGGAAACTCGTAATGGTTGCATAGAAGTATTGGGAGGCAGCGGTAAATTCTGGGAAGGATTGACTGAAGGATGTTTCTGACGAAGGCCTTCAAGACTTTCGACATTACGAGGAGCGAGGATGTCATCTGAGAATAAAATACGGGATGCATTTTTAAGTCGCCGTCCATTACTTTTGATTCAACTACTTTTTTTAAATC